CTTTGGGGGACATCTAGACACAGCCATAACATGAGGCTTTGCCACTCATTTTTTGTTTGTTTGTTTTTTTGGTACTGGGGATCAAACTCGGGTCCTTGTGCTTGCAAGTTGCCACTCATTTTTTATTTGACTTTTTGAGCTTTTAGTTTCCATGATTTCTGTTTGTTTTTCAAAATCTCTGTGTCTTTTTGAATTTCTGATTTGTATCCTATTCTGTCTTATTTGATTCATTCAGTTATGCTGTATTCTTTTGAAATTCATTTTTAAAAATTCTTTTGAATTCTTTATCTTACATTTTATCTACTCAGTATCATTTGAGTCGCTCAATCGAGAATCACATGTCGTGTTGGAGGAGTTATGTTTCTTTGGTTGTTTTCCTATATTTCTGTGTTGAGATGTACCTTTCTGTTGGATATCTCTTCCACTTAATGTAAAGGCCTCTTTAGGGATCAGCCTTTCTTGGCAGTGTGTCCTGGGACACTGGATTTTCATGAGTGTTGACTGTATTTCCAAATGAGTCCCCAGTATATATTCCTTGATGCTTCCTTAGTGGTGGTCAGTGTATTTTCACTATATCAGACCCTAACATTATAAGGTAGCATGGAACGGGAAGTTTGCTTGGCTGGAGTTTACAGACAGGTGAGTTGGACGGTCCTCCAGAGCCAGGCTGGTGCTGAGCTTTGTTAGTGTGTTTAAATCTGTGGCACCCTTTGAGAAGCCCACTTAGAGGATTGGCAGCAAACTCTCCTGAGCACAAGGTGCAGCATTCCTGGGCTATCTGTTGTGCACCATTCTGCTTTCTGCAGCCCAGTCTCACCTGCAGTCACATACATTTACTTAGTCCTGGTCCACTTTAACTGGCTGCCCAAGCTGCCAGTCTTTTTTTTTTTTTTTTTTTTTTTTTTTTTGTACCAGGGATTGAACTCAGGTCCTTGGGCTTGTGAGGCAGGTGGCAAAACCATTGAGCTAAATCCCTGACCCTTAATACTTTTTTGGGGGTCATACTGGGGATCAAACTCGGGTCCTTGCACTCTCGAGGCAGGCAATGGCACCACTGAGCTAAATCCCCAGCCCGCAAGCTGCCAATCTTAACCATTCAAGGTCGGGTGTTACCCTTAATATGTAAGAAGAGTTTGTTTTTGTCTCAGATCTGCTACAACCTCTGAAGGGTTAAAGAGAAATTGAGCTCTGCTGCTTTCTGTATCCGACCTGAATCTCATTGCTCCCATTCTTCAGTGAATCTGCTTCGTTAGTATTCTGCTAGAACCTCCCCGGGCCTCAAGCAGGACAACAGGACAGTATTTGCTGTGATACTTCAGGGAAAAGGAAAATGCGGGCTTTCTGACACCAAAGTAGCAAGCTCCGGCTGGCCCTTCACAAGGTGGCATGCTGCACAGGGCCATGCTTAGGGCTGAGAGATGTGGGCCCTCGCACAACACAGCTCCCAGGTCAGCTAGAGTCGCTGCTCTTCTGTTCTCATTAGTCTCTCTGCCAGTTTTGTCCCCGTTGCCTGTCTTTCCCTTTGTGTCTCCCACCCTTCCCCACCCCACTGTGCCTCACACGACTGCACCGCCACCACCATTGGCTGAGGGCCGACACATTCCTTCTCATCCTCTTGTCTGTGACATCTGTCACTGGTTGTTTCCAACACTGTCCAGCACTGAACCTCGGTGAAGTCCCTCCTTCACCCACCTCGCTGAGTAGCTGATTTTAGCTGTTTCAATTTCAAGTTGGGGAGAAGCTGAGTTAGAGTTTCTTAAAACGTAGTCTGGGGCTTGTCTGCAACAAAATTAGCTAAGGTGATTGGGATAACAATCTCTGTTTTTTATTGAGATATATTTTTACATATTATGAGATACAGTGTAACGATCTGAAACGTGTAATAATAAAATCAGGGTAATAAGCACTTCCATCACCTCAAACATTAATCATTTTTATGTATTGGGAACTTTTATAATCTTTTATAGTTACTTTGAAATACATCATAGGTTAATGGAGCCAGTAGTTACCCTACTGTGGTACAAAAACCAGAACTCATTATCCCCCTGTCGTTACTTCCTTAGAGTTTCTACAGGGCTTTTCTTATCGGAATTGTGTTGATCAGTTTTTCTTCACTCTAACTAAATACCTGAAAAGAGCAACTTACAGGAGGCTTACCACGCAGCATCAGAGGTTTCCTTGGCTGGCTCTATGGATTGATTTGATCATTTGTTCTCTGGATACCATAACTATGAACAATTATGTGTTAATTAAAAATTAAATTTAAAGTTAAGCCTAAAAAGATTAAGAACTAACTTCCCATCACAGCTGGTGTAGGCCAGAGGCAGGAAGGCAACACATTTAAGAGCTGAATGGAAAAAAGCATCAACCCCAGTGCCTTATACCCAGCAAAACTATCTTTCCAAATTGAAGACAGAATACATTGCCAGGTAAACAATAACCTAGCAGACTTGTCTTAAAGAACTACCGAAGGAAAGTCTTCAGAGTGAAAGCAAATCACACCAGATAGCATTCAAATCTATAAGAAAAAAAGTGAGCACCAGTGAAAGGTAATTATGTAATTAGAGAAAGCAGTCTAAAGGTATATTTCTTTTCTAAACTGATTTTAGAAGGAACTAGGTAAAACTGTGTGGGTAAGTATATTGTGCATATGCCATAGAAATGTAGTATAGTTGGCAGTATTAGGCATGGAGGTGTGACCTGGGGCCCACGTCTGGCCCCTGACCCCTGTTTCTGGTTGTGTCCTCTGCTCTGCTTTCTCACGTCCATGAACTAAACAGCTTTAATCCACCACACTCTCCTACCGTGGTATTCTTGCCTTGGAGCTGACCAGCCATGAATTAAATCCTTTGAAATTATGAGCCAAACGGATCCTCTCCTTCTTTAATTTGCATGTGTTGGGTATTTTGTTGAGCAATAGAAAAGCCAACTAATACAGGAAATTGGTACCATAAAAGTGGGTTTCTGCTCTGACTGTACCAGAAGCTTTCGTAACTGGTTTGCATGAGGTTTGAAGATGCAGAATAGCGAAGCCCTAAATGTTGTATGTAGAATTTGATGGCCAAATCTTTTGTATGTGTATGTGTGCATGCGTGTGTGTGTGCACGCACTTTAAACAATTTATTGAACTGAAATACCATATAGTGACTTCCATTTATTTTGATACATCTTGTCCCCAAGGCAATTTAAAGGATCTTCAAGCCAATATAAATATTTCATAAATATGTGGCCATTTGGGTATGCATCTGCACAATACCTTGCATCTTTCAGCAAGAAAAACACTGAAGAGTAAAGACCTGACATATTAACTGGGTACAGTGAAAATCTACTGCAAGTATTTGTTTCTCTGAGGTAAAGGCACCACATACCTGTTCAATTAAGAAAACCACTCTAACAACACAGGATAAATTTTTTTTCTTTTTATTGAGTTTATTGGTACAATCTAGGTATACAATACAGTTACATTCATCATTGGGATTCTGTACCTTTACATAATAGGTCTTGATTCTCATTTTTTCCTCTTGTCCCTGCCCTACCTTCACCCCCTCCTCCCCTCCCATTTATAAACACTTTATTTCCATTTTTTCAGTTTCTCATACTTTTTTCCTCTCCCTTATTACCTTTTCCCCACCCTTCCCACTTTCCCTACACCTTTAGCCCTTTACTTCCTATTTCACATTATTAATTATCTCATTAGGATCGTAACACAGGATAATTTTTAAAGTATAGCCTAGGCCGCTAACTAAGTGCTGTGTGGCAGATCTATATACCTTGCTTATGGCAAGAATTCATATGGAATAAGTTCCAGCAACTCAGGCTCCTTTACATTGGTTCTCACAAAGTGTGCTTCTTTGAGTGGGGCTTCAGCTGAACCCAGGCGCCTTTCTCTTCGCGTCCTTCTGTTTCTGATCATTTTCCTGGACACGTTTCAGGAAGCTCTCTCTACTCTTGGAGTGTTTAATATGCTCAGTACACACAATGCTCTTGGCAAGTATCTTGCCCTTGACTTGTTTGCAACAATGCCAACGGTATGCCGGGCAACGCTGTAGGCTCTTCCAGTCTCGCCATGGGAACATTTGTGTGGCATTCCTTTTCGAACAGTACTCGTTCCCTTGATGTCTACAATATCACCCTGTTTGTAGATTCGCATGTGTGTGGCCAAAGGAACGACCCCACGCTTTCTAAATGGCCTCGAGAACATATACTGGGTTCCCTCCCTCCTTCCCTTTGTGTTCGTCATTTTGTCAAATCATTGGAAGATGGTGGTTTTGGCTGAAAGGCTGATGGCCAGTTTTTTTTGTCTTGTACTGGGGATTGAACTCGGGACCTTGCACCTGCAAGGCAGGTGACCAAACCACTGAGCTAATTCCCCTACTTGGCAGTTCTTGTCAGAGCTCAAAAGACCAGAGTTCAAAGAGGAATCCAGACATTAAAGCCCAGGCTCATTAGGTTTCAGGTAGGAACAAGGACTCTATTGGGAATTGGACTAGAGGCCATGCGTATTATATTCTGGCAAAAACAAAATAAAAAACACAACATTATATTTTGATTGTGACCCGAAACTTTGTGGGTGGCTGGATTTAAGGGCTATAGACTTGTGGATTTAGGGACAGAAATGTCAAGGCAACCCAGCATTCAAGCTATAGCATGGGTACTACTTGTTGTTTTTAGCCATATTTATAGTAAAACTCAGAAGCAAATATCAGAGCAAAAAGTATTAGAAAAGTGTAAATTAGGCCCAAAAAAGAGCCACATGTAAAGTTGAGGCCAAAGGAGGTATGGCTGCTGAAGAGATCAGTGCCATTAAAAAGAAACCAAGTACTTTGAACCAGGACAAGAAGAAAGATGCCTTGAGGGCATCTCAGGAACCAGCAAGACTCCACCTCTCTCAGGTTCAAGAGTATGAAAGTACAAAACCTTTCATTTGACAATAGAGCTGCTGAGTCTCCTCCTCCAGAACGGCTGCCTAAGGATTCATTTCATTGTTTACAACCATCCAGGCATTCAGAGGCCACAGAAGCCATGGTCCAAGACTACTGCTCAAGCTGGCAGCGGAACTTGGCAACCTTCATGTGATGCCAGTTATTCAGGCAAGCAGAATGCAAATTTGTCAGGACACAGAGGCTTCCACCCAGATTTCAAAGGAAGGCTTAAGAGGCCAGGTAAACATGTGTGACAGAGTCATTGGAGTCCCTGCCAGAAACTCTGGAGAGGGCAGTGCGTGAAACCGTGGAAAAGAAGCCAGAGGTGCAGTGAAAACCCCAGGAAGCTGGAAATTCCAGGAATGTGGAATGTCCTCCAGGGGAAGCTGCAAGCAGCAAGTGGGGCTAGCCCAAGGGAGGAGGCTACAAGGCTGCAGGAGTGGGTCTGTCCGAGCCCTCTGGATCGCAGGTCGCCCCAATGTCCTCTGGATTCTGCACATGTAGCTACAAGATTTAGTGCCAGCCTTACTCAGTTTCAGTCTTGCTTTGTTCTCGTTTCCTTCTGTGTCACTGTTCCTTCCTTGTGGAATAGAAATGTTTACCATATGCCATTGTATATTGGAAGTATTTGATTTGATTTTCTTTTTAATTTTTACAGTGGCTCACAGCTAAGTTTGTCTTGTGTCTCAGAGAAGAATTTGGACTTGGACTTTTTTTTTTTTTTTTTTTTTTTTTTTTTTTTTTTTTTTTTTTTTTTTTTTTTTTTTTTTTTTTTGCTATACGAGGGATCAAACTCAGGACCTTGTGCTTGTGAGGCACGCATGGCACCACTGAGCTAAATCCCCAGGTAGACTTTTTATTTTTAAAGTTTTTTTTTTGCGGGGGGAGGTAGGTTTTAGCTTTTTGTTTTTTTTGTGTGTGTGGTACTGGGGATTGAACTCAGGTCCTTGTGCTCTGGAACCACTGAGCTAAATCCCCAGCCATAGACTTTTTTTTAAGGGAGAAAGGTTTATTTGACTTACTTAGAGGCTTCAATCCATAATCCGCTGCTCCAAGGCAGGGTGGCACAGGGACAATGGTTCATGGCCGCTAGAAGGTAACAAAGCAAGAAGAGACCTTAACAGTATCTTTCTGCCCCCTTTATCTTAATCATACCACTGTGATTAGGGCAGTGCCAAACCAATAAGTGTACTGGTTTATTAACTGGTCCTTAATTTCAGCATCACACACTCTAGATTCAGCCACCACATGAGGCTTTGGGGGGACATCTAGATCCAAACCACAGCATTCTGCCCCTGGCCCCCACAGACTCATGCACATCCCTTTATGCAAAAGGCATTTAGTCCATCTCTAAGAGTTGCCAAAGTCTTAACAGTTTCAGCATTGCTGAAAAGTCCAAGTCCAAAGTCTCTGAGATTTAAGGCAAACTCTTAGCTGCAAGCCCCTGTACAATTGAAAAGAAAGTTAAACACTTCCAACATTTAGTGGCACAAGATAGACATTTCTATTCCAAAAGTTACAGACAGGGAGGGGTATGCAAAGGGATGAGACCAAGGCAAGGGCAAACATTAAATCCTGTAGTTCCGTGTCCAGCATCCCAGGCACACTGTGGCAGGTGGTGGCACGTCCAAAGGGCTTGGGCACTGGCCATGGTTGTAGCTCCCACAGCTTCTCTCTTGGACCATTTCTGCTCCCTCTATTCAGTTTTCCTCAGAGAATCCATGCTTCTGGCTTCTCCAAACTTCTGGAGTCTCCACTGACCCTTCAGCTTCCTCTCAGGGGAACCCTGCCTGGCCTGCCGGGCCTTCTGAAATCTGACCCCACAACTTCTACATTCTACATGCACCTAAAACTAGTGACATATGGATGATGCCAAGGTCTGCTGCCCGCTGGTGCAGTAATCAGGCTTCCCTCTCTCTTGGCTGTAGGGGTTTAGTGCCTAGATCCATGAGCACTTGGAACCCAATTCCAAGGAACTAATTCTCTAGACCAATGCCATTCTGGAACATGGTTCCTTGGAGCTCTCTTTTCAGCGGAAAATCTTTCACTTTTGCAGTTTTGAGGCTGCAAAGGGTGGAGTCCTGCTTCTTCTTGTGATGCCCTCACGCCATCTTTTCTATTCGCCAGTTCCTTCTCAGCAATCAAGATCCCCTATGAGAGCTTTTCAGGCTCCAACTTTATTGGAGCTTCTTTTCTGGCCTAACTCAAAATGTTTTATGTCATTCTGTTGGGCTCTTTGCTCTTGATTCTCAACATGAATCTGGCTAAAATCTCCCAATAGCAGTCATGCCATGGTCTAAACATTAGACTGCCTTGAAATTTCTTCTTCAAGATTAACCTCAGTCTCAGGCAGAGTCTCTGGCAGACAAACTTTCTTCCAAGCAGTAACACATTGGAGTCCAGCAGCTAATGCAGTCCTTCTTCCCAGCAGAAACCTCCTCAGCCTGGTCTTCACCGGCTTCTGGTCTTCTGAGTTCTGACCAGAATCTCCCATACAGATCAGCCCTAGGCATTCCAGTTCTACATTATCAGTCGGCATCTCTGAACCTTTCCTAACTCTTCCCATAAGCCAGTCACAGAGGCTCTTGAGCCACATGGCTAGGTAATGTCACAACAACCCTACTCTAGGTATCAAATTCTGTGTTACTTTTCTCTTTTTACTTAGACAAAATACCTGACTCCCAGAGATAAAGAGGGAAAGGTTTATTTGGCTCACAGTTTCTAGAGGTTTAAGTCAATAGTCAGCTTCTCCAAGGCAGGGTGGCAATGAGGCAACAATTTGTGGTGGTAGAAGCAGAAAAAGCAACAAGAGCTGGCCTTAGACTTTTGAACAGTGGTGAATTGTTGAGTCTTTGGAGAGGGAATTAGGGCATTTTGGTTGTACATGGGATAGTTCTATCATATTAGACAGAATTATGACCTTGTGTTTACTTGGAAATTAACATGGCTTAAGGTGGTGTGTTTGGCTGTCAAATTGACAATGGATAGATTGTGACTGTTCATCATGACTCAGTTTGACTGGATTAAGAAATGCCTAGCACATTAGCTGAGCACACTACCGGGTATATGTGAGTAGGTACTATATCTGGCCCCTTCCTTACTGCCCATGGTCCCCTGCTTTACTTCCTGCCTACCATGAAGTATAAGTAACTTTTCTCTTCCATATTATTCTACAATCATATTCCTGCTTTGGAGAAATGTGACCAGGACTAAATTTTCCAAAACCAAGAGCCAAATCAAACTGTTCCTCCTTTAAGTTTTTGGTATTCGGTATTTTATCCAGCCACGGGAAGACTGTCTGCTACAGTCATGTAGCCTCTATGACTCACCCAAACACACTCAAAAGTGTGCTTTACAAATGTCTCAAGGCAATCAAGATGATAACCAGTATTAGCCACCACAAAGGTATCAGCATTCTCTGAGACTCTGACCATTTCTTTTGAATGTCTTTTCCCTCTGTTTTGATTACATATTTCTTACTCATCTGTCTTGAAGTTTGTGGTCTTCTGCTAGTTTTGATAGACTGTTGAGCCATCTAGTGAATTTTTTTATTTCAGTTATTGTCCATTTTAAATCCAGGATTTCTATTTAGTTGTGGGTTTTATCATTTTAATCTCTGTTGATAATATTTGTTGAAACATTGTCATTTTACCTTTCTTATCTGGTTTCCTTTAGTTCTTTGAATATGATTATAATGGCTGCTTGACATCTCTGCCTATTAAATCTGATGTCTGGGCTTTTTCACAGGTACTTTCCATTGTGTTCTTTTTTCTCCTGAAGCATAGCCACATTTTTCTTTTTTTGTATGGCTTATAGTTTGTTGTTGTTAACATTGGATATTTTAATTAGTATGTTGTGTTCTATATATGGGTCTCCTTTACCCTTTCCAGGGTTTATTTTCATTATTTGTTTTTAGGTGGATTATGTCTGTGGGTCTGTGTCTCCTGCAATGTGAAGTCTGTGCTGACATTCTCAAGAGGATCAGTCCACACCTACAATCACCTTTTGCCTTTTTCCTTAACCTGTTTGTCAAGCTCCCTGCCCTGTTTGTGACTCAGTTGTTGGACTCCACTAGCTTCTAATTGCTCTGGGTTTTTTTGTTTGTTTGTTTGGTACCAGGGATCGAACTCTAGTCTTTGCATTTGTGAGATAGGCAGCGGAACCACTGAGCTAAATCCCCGGCCCTGCTTTGTTTGTTTGTTGTTTTGTTTTTTAAATTGTTAGAATTTATTGAGATGGCAGAAATATTTCTTAGTGAAATAATAATATCTTCTTTTTTTGTTTGTTTGTTTTCTTTTTTTGGTACTGGGGATTGAACTTGGGTCCTTGCGCTTGCAAGGCAGGCGGTAGAACCACTGAGCTAAATCCCCAGACCATAATATCTTCTTTAAGCAAATATTCCGCTGCTCTATACAAACAGGAAGTTAATAATCATGCATTTAGTAGTTCAAACTTGAAATCCCATAAGGAAAAATTTCATTCTTTGGGGTGAACTTCCTCTTTTTGGGGGCGGGGGTTACCGGGCCTTGAACTCAGGTCCTTGTGTTTGCAAGGCAGGCACTAGAACCACTGAGCTAAATCCCCAGCCCCAAGCTTCCTCTTCTTGACAGTGAAGCTGCTCTGTAGATTTTCCTTCACTATGTGCAGACCATCATCTCAGACTCAAGTAGAATGGCTGCCATCTAAAAGTAAACACTCCGAATCTGCTGTACTGCTTCATTTCCCATCTGTGCTGCTGTAGAGCCTGGCAAGCAGATGATGGAGGGATCAGAGCTGTAACCCAGCAGGAGGTGGCAGGTCTGCGAGTGGCCATGAGGGCAGCTCGATGCAAAGCCATCTGACCGCTGCCTGCCTCGCAAGTGCAAGGTCCAGTTCAAAGCCGTCTGACCAAGGTGTCCAGTGTGTTCGTCTTCACTTCGTGCTCATGCAGAACTTCCATGACATCACTGTGAGCTCTTTTGGCTGCAGCATGCAGGGGTGTCATGAATCTTTATGTTTCTCATTGACATTCAGTAATAATTCCATCATGTGTTTTTATTTCGGATGTAAGGAGGCTGCAGCACCGTGCAGTGCTGTTTCATGAGACTGCAGTTGTTTGAAATTAATGATTTCCAAAGCAAATGTTTTCTTGACTTTGGCTCAGTCTGCTTCTCTTGCTGCTTCTAGTAAAGAATGAGCTTTAAACTCATAAGTCAGTTTGTCCTGGAGCTCGGGAGCTGGTGCCATATCCACAGCACTTT